CCCCCCCCCCCCCCCCCCCCCCCCCCCCCCTCCGGTAACAGATAAATTCCTCAGAAAGGAGAAGACAGGTCTTAGAAAGTTTTGTCGCTGCAAGCTATAAATGGATGAATATTGACAATAAATTTTAAGTTTGAAAATGGAAAACAGAGGAGTTTTTGAGTGGGAGCTCTACGGGCATTTTCCAATTCATTGGGCTTTGTGATCCTGAGATGCCAAGATATGATTGTGTTGATCCAAGGCCGAACAGTTCTTACCCCTTCATATCGGCCATTATTTTCGATTAGCGTGGAAATAAATCGTGGTTCCTGTGCCTCGACTTCTTTCAGGATTTCCTGAACAATCTTAGCAATCATATGCACCGCTTTGTGTACATGGCTTTTCCGAGCCGCAACCCTTTCGGTGAAGTAATGCGAAATTTGATAGGACGTGACAGCTGTATTTTGGCCAAGCATATTTTGGCGCTGCTCTCGTCGTCGTCGTCGCCCTGGACGTTGTAAAACACCAAAATCATCGCATATCTAAAAAAGAATTGAATGTGAAAGAACAACTGGCGTTAACAGCGGTCACTAGCTGACTGGCCCAGAGTCCATGGCGTGTGGACGGTTAGTGTCGAGTACTGGGACTGGCCAAGCATCATTTGTAGGCAATTTGCGCGTGTTTATTCAGTGACTATTCAGCAGGGACTATTTTTCGGGATTTTGTTTATCGCTAAATCAAGCAAAATGGGGCCAAAAGGGTGGTGCTTTTTTTGAAACGAACAGCCGCAGGATGGAGTGAGTCCTGAAGCTTTTGCTCATTCAACACCAACAATCATCAATCAGTCAACGAAAGGAATAGATCGCCGGCCGTCAGGAGCAACAGCAGCAGGAGCAGCAGCACTCGGCATCATCATTTGCAGCGTGTAAATCGGCTCTCTCCTGGGGCAGCCCGTTGCGGGAACGAAGGCGGGGGGAGTACGTTGTGTTTCTGCAATAGCAGCATATGTTCTCGAACTCCGCCCAGATGTCCATCCTACCTGCTAAATAATTCATGTACTCTGAGGCCTGTCGCAGTGACACCGTATCCATGCGTCCCCGAAGCGCATGACAGCTTCCGAGTTCATTCTCACTTCTCTCTTGCTCAATTCCTCCCCTGCATTCGGAGTTTTTTCCTCCTCTCATCGCTTATCAAACTCCCACCTTTAAAAACCTTTTGTAAAGTCAAAGATCTTTCGTCTCGATGAGGCTGATTACTTAGGTAGACTTACCACCACATCTGCACTGTGAACTTGTCGTACGAGCTTATTTTCGCTCTGTCTTCATTCTTATTCTTTAACTTGTGCTAAGGTGCTGGGTAAACTAAGACTCAGGTGACGCCGCACCAGGCTTGCCGTTGCGATTATGCATTTTCGCATGATTCCATTATGTCGTTTATACTACGGGAGTTGCAATTTGAACATTTGGTGTCCCTTTGCACAGGACCTATGCCTAGGTAGAAACTCATACTTGGTGGCCCGCACATCGACAGCAAACATCCTCAGAAAAATACTGCTTTCTACTCAATGTGTCTACCGAGTTTACTTGTGTCCTGTTCTAAGCATTCACTTGCGTTTGCAAGAACTAAGCGTATTTTAAAGCTGGTTTTGGAATATTTTTGTCATACATGGGCGTAGAATATCTTCGTACAAGTTTGAGCTTCCTAGCTTCTCTGCTAGTTGCATAGATATGCAAAAGCGCATAAAAATGGGGCAGAAATTCATTTATTTGACTCGGACCTGAAAGGGTTTCATTTTTTCCCGCGTTCTGAACTTTTAAAACTGCTTCCTCCATATCTACGTTTTTAGGAGCGGAGATGTCTTGTGAAAGCATGGGGTAAAATTATCTTGTTTAAAACTCAGGGCTTTCCATTCATTAATTACAAATCTGCCGCTGGTTTGTTATGGACTGAATTTGGCTTGAGTTCCTTTCATGCACATTTTTCTACCGAAATTGGTATAGCGAAAAGGACTTACTCTTCAATGGCGGGTTGATCCAGAACGTAGTCATTGAGAGACCCTTTATTCTAAAGCTTATTTTTATTAATAGTGGACTAAACTGTAACAAAAGGAGATCATTAGCAGCGTCCACTAGGCGAGCCCGTGCGATCATGCGTTCTTGCAGTATTTCGTGCCGTAGAAATATCTCTTGGAAACACAATAAGTAAAATTAATGATATGCGGATCCTCGAGCTTCAGGAAGTTAATTGTACAACTGTCATGTGATACTTGGATAGGGAATATTCCCTTAAAATCTCAGCTCTTCAGCTTTTCTGGTTTCCGAGTTAGCGACTTTCCCGCCAAAAATTCTCACGAGGCTGCACATGAGAACCACGAATGCCTGAGTGCTGAATTCGAAATGTTTGAGTTCTACGTGGGCGGGGAAAATCCTCTCAGAATTTCAGCTTTCTAGCTTTTATGGTTCCCGAACTATTAATTTGCCAGCCAAAAATTTTCACGAGGCCTGTAGCAGCACTGTAGCGCTGCACAGCAAAAACACATAACAACGAAAAGGAGGCACGGTAGTGCTATCAGCCCAGTCGCTGTTGTTCGGTCTTGCTTTGTTCTACACCTATGCTGGAATATTTCACCTGGTCAGTGTTTTTCTCAAAAACAGCTTCAGACCAGGATCTGTTACTAGTGCAACAACGTCGTTCCGGACCATTGTATTAGCTCATTTTACATTTTTCCAACAGCTCATCTTACATTTTTCACATATCTTTGGACTTTCTTGTCATAACCTCGTATGCACCATCAGGCGTTACTACACATCAGTGGCTAGCAGGATTTTGTCTAATGGATGAGGCATTTTGTGCGTTCCTCTGACAGCTCTGAGGTGTAGGTTACAGGACTAGTGCTTGTACTTATATGGCCTCCGAAGAGTTGGTACATACAGCGACAGTAAATACTATCTGATAGAATTAACCCGGGGACAAACGGAAAAACAATGACTGTCGCCGACATGTAAATGCATTTCAGTAAGATCGCAGCTTCAGCTGATAGTTCAGATTGCATGATCTTATTGCTTTCATTACTTCCC